AAATTGGAAAACTTAAAGAAATGGACAACTTTCTGAATAAATATCACTTACCAAAATTAAATCAAGACCAGAGAAGCAAATTAGACCTATAACTGCTAAAGAAATAGAAACAGTCACCAAAATTTTCCCAAACAAAAAAGCCCAGGACTAGATGGTTTCAGCTCAGAATTCTATAAGATTTTAAAGGAGAACTAATAACAATACTCCTCAAATTGTTCACACAATAGAAACAGAAGGAACATTGACAAACTTTTTTTATGAGGCTACAACTATCCTGATACCCAAGCCACACAAAGACATTACTAAGAAAGAGAATTACAGACCAATCTTACTTAATGAACATTGATGCAAAAATAGCCAATAAAATACTGGCAAACCCGAATCCAAGAACACATCAGAAAAACTATCTACCATGAGCAAGTCGGCTTCATCCCAGAGATGCAGGGATGGTTCAACATATGGAAATCTGTCAATGTAATCCACTAAATAAACTGAAAAAAAAGCCACATGATCATCTCATTAGATGCTGAAGAAGTCTTTGAGAAAATACAACAACCCTTCATGATCAGGGTCTTGGAGAGAACAGGGATACAAGGAACACATCTAAACTCAAGAAAGGCAATATACAGCAAACCAACAGCCAACATCAAACTAAATGGAGAGAGGAGGACCAATGGAACAGAATCAAAGACCCAGCTATCAATCCACACACCTAAAAACACCTGATTTTTAACAAAGAAGCAAAAAATATAAAACGGAAAAAAGCATATTCAAGAAATGGTGCAGACATAACTGGATATCAACATGTAGAAGAATGAAAATAGATCCATAACTATCGGCATGTCCAAAACTCAAGCACAAATGGATCAAAGACCTCAACATAAAGCCAACCACACTGAACCTCATAGAAGGGAAGGTGGGAGGTACACTTGAATGCACTGGCATAGGAGATTATTTCCTACAAATAACCCTAGTATTACAGACACACAGAGAAAAAACTACTAAATCGAACCTCCAGAAACTGAGATGCTTCTATAAAGCAAAGGTCATGGTCAACAAGACAAAACGGCAGCCTACAGAATGGGAAAAGATCTTCACCAATCCCACATCAGACAGAGGACTGATCTCCAAAATATTTAAATAACTCAAGAAATTGGTCATCAAAAGAACAAATAATCCAATAAAAACGAGTTACAGACCTAAACAGAGAACTTTCAACAGAGAAATCTAAAATGGCTGAAGGACACTTAAGGAAACATCCTTAGCCATCAAACATCCTTAGCCATCAAAAAATGCAAATCAAAACAACTCTGAGATTCCATCTTACACCTGTCAGAATGACCAAGATCCCTGATGACAACTTATGCTGGAGAGGCTGTATGGTAAAGAAAACACTCCTCCATTGCTAGTGGTAGTACAAATTGGTACAGCCCTTTGGTATCAGTATGGCGATTTCTCAGAAAATTAAAAAATAACTTTCCTCAAGACCCAGCAATACCACTTTTCAGATTATACTCAAAGGATGCTCAGTTGTACCACAAGGACATGTGCTCAACTATGTTTGTTTGTCATAACCAGAACCTAGAAACAACTTAAATGCCCCTTGATCGAAGAATGGATAAGGGAAATGTGGTATATTTATACAATGGAGTAATACACAGCAGAAAAAAATGACATCTTGAAATTTGTGGGCAAATGGATGGATCGAGAAAACATCATACCGAGTGAGGTAACCCAGACCCAGAAAGACAAATATCATATGTATTCACTTATAAGTGACTTTTATACATAAAGCAAAAAAAAAACCCAGCCTACAATTCACAATCCCCAAGAACATAGACAAAAATGAAAACCCTAAGAGAGACATACATGGATATAATCTACATGGGAAGTAGAAAAAGACAAGATCTCCTGAGTAAACTGGGAGCATGGGGACCATGGGAGAGGGTAGAAGGGGAAAGGAGAGGAAGGGAGGGGAACAGAGAAAAATATATAGTTCAATAAAAACAATAAAAAAGAAATAAAAACCATTTGTAATTACAAAAGTAAATTTGTATAACTAAAAGTGAAAAAAGAAACTGATCATTTGGACTTTATATAATTTTGGTTTTAGTAGGTTCTTACATTGCTTACATCACTTCTCTGAATTTTGGCTAAAAATAAGAAAGAGTGTGTCTGCCCGTCCTGATCTGGGAGCTCATAATACTCATGCCTTAGACACTGGACTAGCTGGTAATACAGGGCACAGGTGCTGCACCCAGTAGGACCCTATTATATTTAAAACTTGAAAACTATGAAAGATTCTGTGAAGAATTAAAATATAACCTACAGATTTTGAGAAACTTTGCAAATATCAACAAAAACCTTTCATATACAATAGAAAACAAAGCACTCCCAAAACAGACAGAATAGCAGACATTTCCCTGAAGAATATATAGGGATGACAAGCACATGAAAATATATTCACAACCAGGATCATTAGCCACTGGAATGTGGAGTTAAAAACATGGAACCACTGTGGGATAGCAATAAATACCCACCAACATGGCTAACACTAAAATTGTCGATAATACCCAGATGTGTAGTAGATGCAGAGAACTGGATTACCCATTTTGCTAGAAGAAATGCATGACTGTTTACTCTGGAAGAATAGGAATGCATTCTTTTTTGCAAAACCAAGCATGTGTTTACAGCACGCAAGCCAGAAACTGCATTCTCCATTTTCTTCAGAGATAGAACTTAGGGTCACATGAAAATCTGTATGTAAAATTTGCAGACTTTTTCATGATATACAAATGTAGAAATAACCCAAATGTCTTTTCCATCTTTCAATGGATAAGTTGTTAAGTGAACTGGGGTATCTTAGTACAATTGGCTGTTACTCAGCAATAATATGGAACAAATTACTCATATATGCAAGAACATGGATGTTCCTGAGAAAAAGTCAATTCCTAAAAGTGGCATACTTTATTCCATTTGTACATTATTACCAAAGTGACAAAATGGCAGAGATGGAACACAGGACAGTAGTTTTTCAAATATCAGGGGTCTGAGAACAGGGATATGGCTCTAACTATGAAAGAGCAGCACACAGAATTTTATGTCTTAGCTGTTTTGATGGTCAAATGAATCTACATGATAAATTGTATATAACTAGAGGCAGGTTGGATGGAGCAAGCCTGTAATCCCAACACTTGAGAGTCAGACACAGAATGATCACAAGTTCAAGACCAACCAGACTATACAGTGAGACCCTACCTCAGAAACTAAAAGTACGTACATTAGTATATACCCAAACTGAATGAAAGTGCAGTGAGCTTATTAATGTTCATTTGTGATATATCATAGCTACTCAAGATGCTTCTGGGCAGAGAAATCAAAGGAACTTGTGGTTTCCATATTCCTTACATCTGCCCACAAATGTAGTGTTGTAGTCAATATACAACCAAAAAATGAAGTCTCTTATTTATTTCAGAAAAAATGTGTTCCAATATATATCAAAATCACTATTCAACCATGCCCCTAGTTTGATTCGTCCATTTCAGCTCAGAAATCCTCAGTCATTTATTCATGCAATGCTCACAGTACTCACTTGGTAGGTGGTGGGGGATTCAGTAGCAAGAGCAGCCAGAATCCTGTGTTAATTCTGAATTTTGCCAGAAAAAAACAGGTCCACCATTTTGACCCAAATTATGTAAGCTTTTATTAAAAATATTAAATACTGACCAAGATGGAATTTGGGTCAGAACATCACCAGGAAATTCTGTGGCCTTCAGACAGAAGTGCTGGTGGAGTTTAGACAGGCAAACCCCATAGGCCACCATACTTTCCCATGAGGCTTAGTTGTCATTTTCCAAGATCTCCAACTCCAAGAATCTCAGAAAGTTACCTGGCCCTTGGGTAGGTGTTATGTTTTAAGAACTATAACTCCTAGAATCCCAGGAAATTATCTGGTCCTTGGGCAGATGGGGATTATAGGTAACACCTATTTTCAGGAACTTTCAGATTAACGATATGGAAAAAGCTAGATGGTCTAAAGGGTCATTACATACACAGTCCTATGAGGACAACTAGAATTCACTTAAACGTCTAATATAAGAAAAGTTAAGTCATTTTAAAAATACCATGTGTTCATTAAAATGTTTATGGATATTATTTATCAGAACAGAGAAATGCATATAACACCAAGGGATACTAACGGTCTATGTATCCATTACTTCTATGACAATTAACCACAACACATTTTATATGAATAAACTTTTATTGAATTTTAGGTAATTAGAAAGAATAAAGAAATGCAAGATAAATGCTTCTTAAACAGCATCTGATAGTATTATCTCTTCTGTGGCATGGTATTTTCGCTTTTCTTTAAAAAGTATAGACATTCACTTATTTAAATTTTTACAAAGTCAAGAACCATCAAATGGGGAAGAAAGAGTAACACTATAATAAATTCATCTATCAACATTGAAATGGTCACAATAGTGTTCTGAGTGTGCCCCAAGGGAAAAACAGTGTAGAGAATCACTGGAGGTTTCCACTCACTCAAATGTGAAGTCAGGGGCCACTCCCCGTGCAGACTATGCTCATAGGCAAAGAAGGCAAGAAGATTGGTGGAAGAGGGACAGAGGGAACGGAAGAAGAAAAGAGAGATATTCTTTGAAAATTGTAGGCTCAGTACAAACAATTTTAAAAAAACAAGTCTTGGAAGAAATCACCATGAGTTGCCTAAAGTGTAGTTAAGGCAAGATAGTCAACCATACAAGTACAGCACAATACAGAGCAGAGAGTCCATAAATGAATCTGGTCAATTGCAAGGCTAGCAAGCCAAGTAATGAGCCAAAAAAGGAAAAAAAAAAAAAAACGGGGAAGGTGTATTTTTACACGGGTGTGCAATGCATTCAGGCAAAATTGCACACGCACATTTTCAGATGCTTAACAAACCCCAAGAGCACACTGGGCGATCGCCAGTTTGTCTAACCCTCATTATTCTTCTGCAAAAAAAAAAAAAAAAGGAATTATTTTGAAAGAAACAAACCAACTCCTGCCCTTTCTGCAACAGCCTACTAACCTCTACTTGTCAAACAAGAGGGAGTCATCCTCCTCGGTACAAAAGACATCAGGTGCTGCCCACATTACAAGTGGCCGGTGTGGCAGCAGAGTTGACAGGCACAATCTTGCTTCTTTGGGGCCCTCCTAGCAACGCAGCGGCCCCTCCCACCTGCCTCCAGCTTGTTTTCCAGACAGCCCCCTCATTTCCCGGAACCGTGACAGGTTTCTGCTGAGCCACTGAGCACAATCACTGGACAAGGTGTTAAGTTCATGCCTTCCTAGTTCAGTGTCTTTCAAGTATTTAAAAAAAATAGTTTTCTTTTAAAAAAATATTTTTTTTAGGAAATCATGAACAGTAATTGCCATGGACCTGTAAGAGATCCCAGAGAAACACAGACAAGAATTTGTCAACATAGCAAAATCCCAAATACAGAAGTTCACGGTTCAGGAAGAGGTAAATAAATAAGAGTGTGGGGTGTTCACAAGAAGTTTCCTTATTTTCCCCCATTTCTAGCCAAATTGTGTTTTGTACAAAGTTTCACCTTTATGATAAAGAGCCAGCCCAGTTGGAATGCATCGCTAGTACCATTAAGGCCTCGCCATTAAAGGGGAATGGGAGAGGCAGAACAGATCACAAGCTTGCTCATGTTTGTTTTGTAAATATACATATTTTAAAAAATAATTTTATTATTTAAACTCCACCTGGCACTTAAGTCTCCTGAAAATTATTAAGTTAGGCAAGAATTAAAGAACAGGTCCACCTGGACCACGGTTTGGGTTGTAAGCGCTATTCTGCTTCTAGCATTCTCCTTGGCTTGGCACGTCATTCGAGATGCAGCGTTTTGTTTTGTTTTTTTTTTTTTTTTTTTTTTTTTTTTAACTGAATCCCAGGACAACTGTGGTGAGGAAACAGTCTTCTTGAGTCTTCATGACAGAATATTCTCGGTCACTTCACACACTGCAGTGGCCAGGCAAGAGCACCGTCTTCTTGGTGCTTTCTACTAAAGTAATGGTAACAAAAGTCTATCTTTCCAGCACTCGCCCACCCCTGCTCTCCCCCTTGTCGGGAGGCATTCCATTTTTTCTCTTCTGCACACAGCATCCTCAAACATCCTACACCAGGGATCCCGCCCGACTCTGGGCAGGCACCATGACAGGTACTGCACCTATGCGCTCCAGAGTCACTTGGCTGACAGTGTAGGAGTGTGTGTGCTGAGGCCAAGGCTTCCTGCTGACTGAACCATTGTTCCTGGGCATGACCTGGGGTGAGGACTCTCTGTTGGCTGTCACTACCAGGGTCTTATGTGGGCCAGAGACCAGATGGCTCCCATTTGCATAGATGGAGGGGATAACGGCATTGCCAGAGAAAGACTGGCGTAAGTCACTGAAGTGGTTGAATGACCCCGTGTTTCTGTGGGTTTTGGGATTGTTGTTCCAGTATCGACTGTTGTAGGTATTGGAAGAGGTCAAGGTGTTATTTTCCGAGGAGGATATCTCTGTGTGAAATGCTTTGGCAGAAGAGCATTTAGGTGGAAGATCATCCTCTCTGAAATGAAACAAAGATAAAGTTATATATAATGGAAACACGTGTCTACAAATACATAAAGACACACATCTCTTTTAACTATGAAGAAGACAACCTACAAAGAAACCCACTGAATTAGTTGTTATAAAACACCCGGGTGAGCAAACTAAGGACATCAAGAAGTTGAAAAAGTCATTCATGTTGTCTAGGCTGTACTGCTAACAGAATTTGAAGAACCACTGTGGTGTGCTGATAGGCTACAGGAGGTGAACAAGAAGAGCTGGCCGCAGAGAGGAAGACCAGAGAAGGAAGGGGAACAAATTTAGAAAAACTGAGAAGACCTGGATCATTAAAGCATATCAACAGGGATATGATGTAGTCAAGTCTGAGACAGTCTGAACCCCCACATCCCAGGAGCTAAACACGAAGCTTTAAACACCATCTTGACATTTTTTTCCTTAAAACATTTTTATTCTTTTATAAACTGCCTGCTATATTTTTTATGTCTTGGGAAGTCCATTAAGAAATTAAGGGTTGAAAACTGACCTCCATTGAGGGGTACTTTTGAGGGAGAAATGTAATCAGCTATGGCATTGAGAAGCAGGAGCTCTGGCTGGTGTTTAGGACTAGGAAAAGCCAGCAGGATAGGGCATGATGACTGGATCCAAGGGGCTTTGTAAGAAAAGAAAGGGCTAACAGATACATACCTCCCATCTCTCTGTGTGTGATGCTGTGCAGCCTTGTGATTCAGGCAGGAAGCCACCACCAGGTGACAACCCCTAGACATAGCTCCTCCAGAGGCATCCAAGTGTTTTTACATAATGCACGATGCCTGGTGTATATTATTATCATGATGAATATGATTAATATGCTCCTTCACAGCAAGCCACAGAACAGTACTTAACTAGGTAGAGAAACTGGCATGCTTGTGGTCAACCCCTTTGCCTCTGCATGTTCCCATCTATTACAGCGGCCAACATGAAACACAGGTCTTCCAGGCTAACTGTTCTGGTGTGACATTCATGGTCTACCCCGCAGCTGTGGTGGCACAGGGGAGCTCTTCATCCTACTTAGATTCATGAAGGATCTTCGTGAATAAAAGTGAGTATGACCATGAAGAAAAGTAATAAACATAACAAGAAAATGGCATTTAGACATTAACATTACCTTGACCACAGAGTAGTAAGACTGGCCTAGAAACCTTGACTCCACTATGAAGAGAAACACACACCGACTCTGCAAGATCGGCAAGCTGACAGACTAACCTGATTTCATTAGGGATATCTTCCTCCTCGTCCTCTTTATTTTTGCTTCTCCAGTAAAAGAATGCCCCTGAAATCAGTGCAATACAAATAATGATGAGGACTACCCCGGTGCCGACAGCTCCAGCGATGACGCCAACGCTTCGGGGCTGGGCTGCAAAACATATTTAAGGGAGATTAAATAAACAAGAGAGAAATAGTACATGCCATACAGCTATATCCACACCAATTCATCTGTTTAAAATGTACAAAGCTGCCCAAAGCATCCTATGCACATGAAATCAGCCCATGCACATGAAATCAGATCTTAACTAACCTTTGGCATTCCCAGTAGGCTTGCAGTGACTGTTGGACAAGTAAACCACCACCACCTCCCAAGGCCCCAGAAGAGCGCAGCTGGAATAGGGCAGGAGACAGAGCCTACTCGATTGCCTTAGTGTCCCAGAGAGCTTTGAATCTCAGATTGTTTATAGCCTCATCCCAGTCACATGATGCCCTTCCACAACCAAAATAAAAATCATCTAAATTTCCCCTACCAGAAAGAAGTGTTCCAAACTGCTTGTTGATAACTGAACACCCAGAAAACCCAAGAGATTAGGGGTGAAAGCAAAGGAGTATCACGAGACTGCATACTACTGTGACTGCAGACTAACGTCATGTCCACAGCACCATGACATGAAGATTAGTTTGGTTTTGATGGTCCTGAGAAGACACTCTGTCACAGGATCGGCATATCAGGGAGGCTTAAATAGTAAAATTTTTATAAAATATTTTCAACAATGATTTAAAAGAATTTGTTTACTATTCACATAATCTCAGAACACTTATAAAGAAGTCTGCATTTTGTGACTTAACCAAGGTCTGGACATCTGTGTCTTGAGTTAGGTACTTACGTGAGATCACCTGAAGATCCAGGAGACAGGTGCTCGTCCCGATGGCATTAGAAGCCACGCACTGGTACAGACCCGAAGACAGGGCACTGATATTCCGGATGGTGACTGTTCCCTGGACCTGGTCTGTCACAAAGATAATAATCAAGTGACAGCTTGATGGAATGAAGAAGGAAAACAAAGAAATCAGAACACAGATGACATTATACCCACACTGGAGAGTAGCCAGTTTTCTTCCTTTTTATAACGACAGGAGAAACTGTTGGTTCGCAAATGTTAAAGAAAATCATGACAGCATATTAAAGACAGAACTATTAAGGATTGTCCTGAATAAGGACAACCTTGAAACTCAAGATCCAGACTAGTGAATCATAGCCTAACTGGTGATCTCTCCTGACTGGGGAGGTCTGGCTTGTCCTTGGGAGGCTGTAATCGGAAGATCACATTGTAACTATATAGAAATAGGGTAAAAGCTTAGAACTCACACAGTTTGGTTTATGCATGACAGAGAAAGAATCGATTCTATGCTCTAAGTATCACAAAAAGTTGGAAGGACAGTAGAAGGGAGTCTGGAAAAGAGGAGCTTCAGACCACAGTACCATTCACAGAATTTCCCATCAGGCACATGGAGCATCCACGAGTCAGTCATCTGCTGAAGACACCCCATACCCTTGCAGGAATGGTCCTACAACACTGGCTCCATTGTGTCCTTAGCCTCTAGGAACAGCTCAGGGAAGCTTGGCCTTGATGAGAAGCAGCGGTGGATCCAGAGTAGAAAAAGCCAGAGTAGCCAGTGGATGTTGTTCCCCATACAAGGAGGTTTTGTCCTGTGTTTTATTTTCAAAGCCACCGCACTGGCATATTGAGAAATGCTCTAGCTGGTAACACTTGGGCAACTCAACAGCACCAACACACTTTAGTCATTTGTGCCCACATCACTGAAATGCCTTACCAGAGTAATAAAAATATGCCAAGCACCGGGTAAATTTTTATATGTAGCTATTTTTCCAATGACCCTTTGAGATATTTTTATTATTAGCCTACTGGACAACTAAAGACACTGTAATTTTAGATGGTTGGCTAAGAAAGGGTACACAGCTGGTGGCCAGAAACTGCAACTGTATGGCTAGCATCTAAGACCTTTGCTCTGGGCCTCACTGCCTCCCTTTGGCTGGGAAAAAAACACACCTGTCATCAGAACCATCCAAAACAGTGCAAACTTAGAAGCCAATGGAGAAAGCTCTTAACGACATATGTGAAAAGTACCAGGCACAAGGTCCAAGAATTCCTGAGCCTGTCCTGGGAACTATCCCTACCCTGGCTTGACTTTTATATGGAGCTACGATTTAGTTATCTGCTAATGGCTTTCATCTTTATCTACAGCAAAGTCAGAGGGGTCTGGTTTTATCAGTTCCTTCATTTACGGCATAAATACGTATGGAGACCCTCTCTCTGTGCTGGTTATCCAGAGATCAGTGCCAGGAGGATCAACAGGACAGACCCTAACGAGGCAAGGAGTCTCAGTGAGTGGTTTAAATGCCAGCCAGTCAGAGCTACAGACCTCAGGTTGCTTAGGGTGTGTAAGGGAGGGCCACCTAAAGAACAGCTGAAAATTGAATAGAATATAGGTATGGAGTATATACAGGTCCCCATATACCAAGGCTGTCAGGGTTGTCCAAGCCTTCAAATACAATGCAGTGGGATGTGTTCATGAAAGCTGGAATCATCCAACATATCTGGGGTGACATCGGTATCACAGGCCAGATAAAGGAGAGAGACTTGGTATTTTCCATTTCTGTTGGAATGCACTGTGTAGCACGGGTTGGTTGAAGAAAGAAGGCACTCCCAGAGGACAGTTTAAGACCTATGTGGTAGCAGGACCCATGATACATAGAGCACTCTGACACCTTCCTATGGGAATAAAAGGGGAACACCATATTACATTAATATCTTACGTGGATTGGATTGTACATAGCAAAGTCAATGTACTTAATGGTTGCTAGGTTTGCATGCATTATTTCCTTTTCTGGTGTGTGTGTATGCGTGCGTGTGTGTGCGCATGTGTGCGTGTGTGTGTGTGTGTGTGTGTGTGTGTGTGTAAGCCTTAAGTAGGCCTGATTTAATCTTTATAACATGCTTAGGTTTCCAAAACTGAGCAATCTCAGAGTAGCCTTGACAACATATGTATGCAAGTAAAGTAGTCTCTCAGATCAGGTCTGCCCAGGTCCAGAGATCACAACCCTCACAAGTACACCTGCCTTCCAGTAAGGGACTTAAAGCTACACTGGTGCATCTGAACACAGCACCCCACCATTCAACGGGCCAGCGCTGCTGGAATAACAAACCAACCATCTGCAGAACCACGCCTCCAGTCATCCCAGAGCTTCCAGGCAGCAAAGGCACAGCTCCGGGGTAACCAACCCTACAACCCCACATGCTGCTACTGGTTTTCTTCCATTTTTCCTCTTAAGGCCCAAGACTCTAAAAATTCAATCAGTTCACATCAAACCACTAATTTTGTTGACATCCCCAGAGACAACTAGGGGGATTTTCAACAGCTTCTCTAAGCGGCACTCAGGCATGCACACAGCAGTCAACTCCAAGGGATGCCGCTCTATAACTTCTTTTAAAAAGCTGGGGCCACCCATCCTCCTCATTTTTTTCTTTTCTTTTCTTTTTCTTTTTTTTTTTTTTTTTTTTTTTTTGGTCTCCAGATACAGACACCGTTTGTATTTGCTATAAGAAAATGTGGCTCAATGGGGCTGACGTGCCATGGTACAGCTCACTCAGATGTAATCAGGTGACAGATGGGACACACACCACACACACTGATAAGGAAGGATTAAGAAGCAGCAAATCAGGAAAGCTGAGCTAGGAGCCAGCCCTCAGCAAACACCAGACTGCAGCAGACAAGCACACGTCCCACCCTGACCCATCAGGCCTGTGTTGGACAGGAGCAATTTGCTGACATGAAGGATGAGGGGAGCTGTCCCTCTGATCTTCCTTCTTCCAAACATGGACATGTGGTTTGGGGAACTACAGTGTGGGAAGGTGAGAGGGCAGCGAACACAGTTTGGGTTTGCGCATGCACTGGGTCACATGCAGGCGGTACATGCGGCCTAGTGGGCCCTTCAGGATCACAGAAACAAGTACACGTGATTCTTCCCAATTCTATCTGTGATTCTCAGTTCCAGAGCCCACATCGAGCTGGGTCAAGATTGCATTAGCAGAGTTGTGTGTTTGGGAGGTAGACTCTGCCTCCTACTAGCGATGAGGACCTGCTTGGTGATGTGTGTTAGCTTCCTCATCTGGAACTAGAAAAGCCCCTCAACCTGTGAGAACCGAATGAGACCCTGCATGTTAACCTGACCAGGATGCTGTCTGGTTCTATATCTACACCGGTATTTCTTGGGACTATATACATACATACACACACACACACACACACACACACACACACACACACATTTGAAATCCTTAAAAACTTGGTTGAGAAATGTAGAAAAGCCTTGAGTACCTTAAATTCTCAGTAGATGTCAATATTTGGGATGTTACAGGAGTAATAAGAATGTCAAATATCATAAATCAGTCTGTATTTTTATGATTTATACACCTTAAAAGAAGGATCACAATAACAGTGAATAATTTCTTATATAAAAGAATCAGAAGTTCTGTTTAAAATATAATGATAGATAAATGGTTTACTATTTACTTAGGTAAAATTATATGCAAACATGACCTCTCCTTGAAACAAATATTTAATGGTAAATATAAAACCAAAGGGAATATTAACACCAAATGAAGGCCAGATTAAAAAAAATCTATTTGGGGGGCTGGAGAGATGGCTCAGTGGTTAAGAGCATTTCCTGCTCTTCCAAAGGTCATGAGTTCAATTCCCGGCAACCACATGGTGGCTCACAACCATCTGTAATGAGGTCTGCTGCCCTCTTCTGGTCTGCAGACATACACACAAACAGAATATTGTATACTGTATACATAATAAATAAATAAATAAATATAAAATCTAAAATATAGAATCTATTTAAAAGCATGAACATGGGGCTGCAAGTGCAATGCAGTGGTTAAGAACAAAAACTGTTCTTGCAGAGGACCTGTGTTAGGTACGCATAATCCATGTCAGCAGCTCACAAATGCCCAACACAATCCTATAAAATTACTTAAAACATTATGAATTTTTTTCCTTAAAACATTGTAAGGTTTTTTTTATATTTTGTGATATCAGGTCACAAAAATCAAAAGGTTGGGCATGCCAAGCAGAACAAATATAAAGATATATTTCTAAGAAAACTTCTTACGGCTTAACAGAAGTTACAAAATGATATCCTAAAACACACTGGGCCAAAAAAGTCACAATTTCAAAGCAGTTTAAGCATGCAGTAATGGGAGATTAAAATCTAAAGCATAATGAATACTTATGGTATGGGGCTTGAAGGAGCTCCCTTTGGCAAATCTGTGGTGAGCCGATATAAACATAATGCATGGAATGGAAGGAGAAGTGTACGTGAAGACAGTGAGAGAGCACTGTCTTACAGAAGAAGGTTGACTACCGGACACTGAAGAAATTACACAGTGATAACAGCATTGATTGATGCCAGGTCATAAGCAAAAGGCTGCTGAATAACAGACTCTTCTTATACTTTCACAGTAGGGCCCCACAAACTACTTATTGCAAAATAATGTTCTGTTACTGGCCAGACTCATAGGATGCCCTCCGTAAATATTATTTCCTCAGAAAATGCTTTAGGAGTTCAAATTTTAAAGTACTGTACATATAATCAATGAGTTAAATATTCTAGTAAAAAAGTTATTTAAATTGTTTTGGGGATGTATGCTAAGATCTACTTTGTTAATATAGGTATCAAGAGGTGAAACTGAAGAAAAACATTTAATTGAGCAAATAAGTTTATCTAAAGTACTTAGGATAATTTATCCAAAGACTGAATTACAAAAGTCCACCATCTTCATCATTGGCATTCAAGTTCATTCACCTTTATCCCCAAAATACCAAAGAATTCTCAAGTTGCAAATACAGACTTATCAAAAACAGGGAGATACAGGAGGCTACATGTACCTCTCAGCCAACATACATAGGATTGTCAGAGGTTCACCCAAATTTCACTCTTTACCCAGTGTTCCACAGCGATGATACAGATATGAAGTTCAGAACCTCAGTGTTTCAGAGGCTCTAGATGATACCGTCAAGCCCCTCATCTTACAGAATGGTTAACACGGGAGTGGAGAAGTGAACTGTTGTAGACAGAGTTACTGGAAACGCAGGACTTCAGTTTTCAGCATTTCAACACGCGCTATTTTAAGCCTGCCACTTACAATCGTGAGATTAACAAGTCAGTCCACAAGACAGCTATTTATCCCACAGCGCAGCCGAAGCATTTAGCAATGAAGAGGCAGCGGGGGTGGGGGAGAAGGCGGGGAACATGGACAATGGAACTGCAGCAGTCACTACAAAAGTGACCTAAAAGCTACTAAGCTGGAAAGAAGGTTTAAAAACTAATGAATTTGGGGCTCTATGAACTAAAAGGTGGGGAGAGTCCATCGGTGTTCCTCTGAGTCTGTAGGGAGTTTACTTGCAGGCTTCTTAGAGGATGTCACCCTGGTTCCTAATTACACCTAATGTCACCCAGCAACCCAAGGCTTTCTTTTCTTGGGGCAGGCACGGATCATCAGGACGATTCAAACTGAGGTGCAGCTGATCCATCCGGGGCCTTTTTGTTAATGGCTAGCTCTCTTTAAAGAGTTGGCCATCTAGACCAAGAATGAGATGAGGAAACCAGTCTATATTAAAGATAACAGCACTCAAGGGCTTTACACAAACCTATCACTTCCTCTCACCTTATTTCATAACATCTGAGCATTTCAAAGGTACTTTCTTCACTGTCAAATCCAAATGACGGGATCTGCACGCATGGCTCCTCACCTTTACCTGTCTGGTGCGAGCTTAGGTCACGGGCCCCTTCCCTGTCCTTTTCATTCTCTTCCTCTAAGAAGACTTGAGGCTGAAACAGGAGAACTGATCCTCTTATGTTTACACAGATCTCTCTTACACTAAAATAGGCAGAAAGTGAGTTCGCAGAGGTGTAAAAACTGTCCCAGTGTTAATGTTAACTCAGTGACGCTACCTGTACGCTACTTTAAAGCTCCCCTGAGGAAATAAAGTTTTCATCCTACTGGATACATTTCTTAAAAGTCATATAGGAATGAGAGAGAAAATGTCATACTCACCTTAAACTTGAAAGCACATTCTTCTCTGCAGTTACAAACTATTAAAGTTCCTTACTTTCCTCGAGTGCTAATCAAACAGGTTTCACGGCACTGTACATACCCTGAGTGGCGGTTGGAGGTAGCTTGAGTGTATTATCTAACTTCTCCCAAAGGTAAGTGGGCCGAGGGATGCCTTCCTCGGAACTACACAGAAGGATGACGTCGCTGCCGATGTCCTGGGATCCTTGGATTTGGCAGTGTGGAGCAGAAGGGGGGACTGTCAAGGGAAGAATGGGTAACACAAGTTCACTTTTACTGTGGGCAATGAGACAGGAATGCCGATCACTGGGAAGCCACAGGCAACAACTGTGAATCACTGAGAGAAACGGCCTCATGACCAACACCAGGGGACAATCAAGCATCAACTACCAGGATGTAGAGATGGGCACAAGGCCTGCATGTGAGAGGAAAAGGAGCCATGGCTTTCGGTTACATTTTAAGGTATCTTAGAGCTTTGGTTTGAATGCTCCCTCTAAAGGATTCTTAAGAGCCTCAGGTCAACACACTGCCTTTAAAGACATTGCTGAGAAGACATATTCAAACCCATTTCCAGAGCAGAAACTGACTCCCCGCATCTGTCTGCTAACAAAGCCTGCTTTAGTTGGGTCTTCCGTTATTTCACAAAGACTAGACGGGCCAGCTTTGTAGTGGATTCAGCTTCCGGTTCTTCAGCTTCCGGTGAAACTCAAGTCAGAGAACACTAACAATAAGGCAGGGGACGTTTCAAAATCCAAAACTATACTCATCAATGACTGACAAGGACACTGGCAACCAGGATACAAAAATCACCAAAGCAACACAAAAGGGAGGAAGTGATGGCTCCCACTGGCACAAAAGAGTGAACAAATGAACAAAACCCATGGCATGGAGTTCTAGATTGATGGACACCTCTGAGTTTATATACAGGTGATGATATTCTTAATCCTAACGCCTTCACAGTAAGTGAGTTCACCCCTTCAGAGACACACAAACCAGAAGCGCAGAATAAGGTAGGGATAGACAGAGCAATCAGAAAGCCAGGGAGTGGAAGAGAGACTAAGTAAGCCGAGGGTGGAGGGGTCTGGGAAGGTAGCTCATGGCAGAATGCTTGCCTGGCATGAATAGGGTCAGAACTCCCACAAAGGCAGGGGGAGGGATGTGGTATCTATATGGTCTGCTGTGCTGGGTGAGCCAGCCTCCTGGACGCCTTCAACATTACCACCATGCTATTGTGAAGCGAAACCTAAAGTAATTATTTTAAGGTGTCATTCACTATAAAATAAAGGATTTTGTTCCACCTTAAGAATTCTTGTAAGATAGATACTGCAGGAAGCCAGTTGCTCAACTATCACATAAACATTAAAATGGCATCTATTTCCTTTAGGAGTCATTATTGTACTCAGAGACCTTAGAACTCTATATAGCTTTAATATAATTAATGTTATCTTCAGAAGATATGTCTGCAACCTGGTCCTTAACTTTCGGAACTGTTAGAAGGCTGGGAGAACAGGGCACCGAGGATTAAAGTATCTTCTCCTCCATTGAGAAAAACATCAGTATCCTGAAATAGCTTAGCAGTGGGAGGGGAGAAAAGGGCTGAGGAGGGGATTGGACAGGACTAGGGAGAGAGATACTGGGAGGTTAGTGGGGTGGGGGGGGGGGAAGGGCCTTCCTGAGTACTTCCTCTTCTGCCAAAATGAGGAATTCATCCCTCCTTCCACGATAATCTACCTGGAAGCCACTTTTACAAGTAACCCCTCTGAGAGCCATGAGGACTGAGATATCCAACAGCTGCAGAGAATATACTTTGATACTACAGAACCACATTATACGATACGAAGAGTGCTGCCTTGAATGAGCCCCTCTAGTTTTAATCTAAACTTGGTTCATTTGTTGTCTTAAAGGATCAGGCCCTAAATCGGTTTGATCTCATTTCTAAGGTGATGATCTGAGGTACGTTACAAACAAGGATGCTTGCATAAGGAGGCAGAGTTAAAACTACGCCAGGTCTACAAGCAAGATGGGCACTGCGGTGACCCCACTTCCTGCGAGGATAACTATTATCCTTACACACACCGACACCTTCACTTTTTGCTCACAGCAAATTATTCATGATTGAGTTTTACCACAGCAGAAAGCTCCTGCCCTCCAGGACCTTAAAATTGGCTTTTATGTCACCCTTCATCCACTGTCAGAAACAGCATTAGGTAAAAGAAGCATAGAGAAGTCCAGGGACATTGTGGGTAAGAAGGCAGGTGGGCGGGGATGGGGGGGTGGGGGAGACTCAGATCATAGGGAGGGAGCAGAGAGAAAATGTGAAGTACAGAAGTAAACATGATTTCAAGTAGATTTGTAAGTGAAGCCTAAAGTAGTGGGTCTTGTCTGTCACTCACCTAACACTGTGAGGCCAGCAACCCCAATGTTCCTGCCCCCTCTGTCTGGAAGGTTGTTCACCAAGCACTGGTAGGTGCCTGTATCTGAGAGTTGGGTGTTATTGATGAAGATGGAGACATTGGTAGCAGGCATGGTGCCTGTAAATCCTACCCTCCCATGGAACCTGGGGGCGCCGTCAAACATCTGTCCACCCTGATAGAGAATGACCTGCCAAAGGAAGCAACATGTCAGTAAACTGGCCATGGTAGCCCCTCCTCGGCACATAACCTGGTGGACAGAACCAAAAGTTCCTGCAACCAAGAGTGGAAATTCTAATTTCTCAGGGTTGTCAGCAACTTTTTGTAACCGCCCATCTATGAGTATCTTAGAACTCTAAACTCTCATGTGCATAATTCGAGTAACTATTTCCCTTCCGTAATTTATCAGAACATAAAAAAATACCTTGAATGCTACTATCAGCACATAAATATTTCTACCAGTGCAAAGGTTAATGGTGAGATGGAATCCAAAAGGTATTTGCACTGCTGTTCTCATACTAATTCAGCCACAGAATTCTGATCCCTCGCAGGCTGAATATCAGCATCACAAAAGGAAGAGAACATTGCAAGTCCATGACTACGGTGCCTGCCAACTCTCAGAGCCAGCAGTTATCAGAGCAACTATTCCTGGGAGAAACACGGCATAGAGCACAGCAGAACGCTCCGTGCCCTGAGAATGAGGAGGGCCTTTCAGGATCTTCCTGTGCAAGTGTAGGAAACCTTCATTGGTTCTTTTTAAAACATGTTTAACTCAATCACCGATGATTAAAATGATGTGATTTAATAAAATGATCCCTCAAACTTAGTCTACTGCAAACGTTTCTTGGTTTGAAAATGCACTGCATCCCTGCGTGCAAGTTTCAAATAAGAAATTCAAAATTTATTAATTTTAAAGACGTTTCTATTGAATTTGTAGCAGGAATTTTACTTTACTATATTGGCTAAGCTGTAAGAAAAAAATCAGAAGAGCTTCAGAAAATGAATGTCATCTTTGTAAATAAAACTGTGGTGACTAACACAGTTAATTAATTTATAGTGGGTATATGAGATTATTAATTTATTACCGAGAACTGATAGAGATTTCTGAGGGCAGCTTCCATTTTCACATGTGTCTTTCCATGTGACATATTCTCGTTTGTATGAGAATCTGAGATAGCTGGTAAGGTTTGGATGCATGTTGGCTAGTCAACCTACTGTGTTAGGATGCATGTTGGCTGGTCAACCTACTGTGTTAGGATGCATGTTGGCTGGCAAGCCTACTGTGTTAGGGTACATAAGTAACTCAGCAAAGCAAACTCCTGTCTACAGCTTCTTACTACCATCACTCTCTTTAGAGACATTCTAAGTCACTTCTCAGCACGCCAAAGTCTTGCACAAACCCTCAGAAGACTCTCTTTAGCATCCACTAGTGAGATAATAACAACACCCTTGTAAAAGGAAGACAGCCTTCCGAATATTAACTAATCTTGCAATGGGGAGGGCGCATTGACCATGTCCTTACTCTAGAAATCAAACATTCCCACGATGCTTCCCTCACCCTCTCTTCCATAAAGATCCACAGTTTTGGGGGGTGGGGACAGAAGTACCTGTTCAGGCTGGTTTGCATTTGAGAGAGGAATGACCATCCAGATGACATTGAGGTTAATGAGAGCAGCACTGGTAGAGAAGGCACACGGCAGGACTGCAGTCTGGCCCCGGGCCACCTGGATACTGCCAGGGCTCTCGGACACTTCCAGGGACACTGTGACACCTGCAGAGAAAGGAACAATTTGGTCCTGTGCGCGTCCTTTCCTAACAGCTGTGAGTACCACGGCACCACATTACACACAGTCTGGAGCTGTGAACACATTGAGGGAATGCTCTAACCAGAGGATGACTCACCGCTCATGGAGCCAAAATAAGAAAGGATTCACTCCTTTACATCTGAGAAAATCATTTTAAAGTCAGATACACCATGCCATGGCAGTCTGAACAGAAACTGATAAATCCTGAAAAAGCCATGAACTGAGTCTTGAAAGCACCATTACAGTAGCAGGACACTACCACACCATAAAACCTAGTGCTCGTCTTCAAATCTTCCAAAGCATGTGCATGCTTTATGCTCACAACCACACATGGAACATTAATGAAAGAAGTAATCAGATCACACAAGTGGAAAGATATACAGTGTTCATGAGATGGGAGATTAAATATCAATAAGAGGTCAATTCATCTTCCCAATGATAAAATTCAGAGCAAATCCAATTAAAACTCCGCCAGGCTTTCTAAGCACACGGCACTGAATTAATTTCAACACACATGAAAAAGGAAGAATCACAAAGAGTTAAAAGAACATAATAAAAGAATGACGGTAAAAGGCTCAAGATCTGGCTCAGCAATTAAGAGCACTGGCTGCTCCTGCAGAGGACGCAGGTTTGATTCCCAGCACCACATGTTGCTCACAACCTCTGTTAACTCCAGTTCTGCAGGCACTGCACACACAAATTACAAATACATACATGTAGGCAGTACACTCATACACATAAAACAGATTAATTTTTAAATGAGGTTTATACTATCTGATTTCAAATTTTTCTACAGAGCTCTACCAACCAAGACAGTTCAGTGTTAGTGTGAGGAGTGACATACAGACAAGTCACACAGGGTTGAGGGCACCTGGTGTTCATGGCTAGACACTTTCCAACAAGGAACAAACAAAAGGAGAAAAAAAAACAGGATTTCCTCTCTACCAAATGGTGTGGGAACAATATGGCAATACTACGGTAACTCAAAAAGAGAAAAATAGAATTTGAACCCATACCTCACACACAATATGCAAATACTGATTCCAATCTTCTAAGCTTAAACAGAAAAAGCTAAACTTATCATCTATCTACAAATAAACATAAGGAAAATTTAAAGTTACTTTCCTCTAATCAGAGAGATTTTTTTTTTTTTTTTTTGAGACAGGGTTTCCCTGTAGCTTAGGAGCCTGTCCTGGAACTAGCTCTTTTTTTTTTTTAATTTTTTAATTTATTTATTTATTAAAGATTTCTGTCTCTTCCCCGCCACCGCCTCCCATTTCCCTCCCCCTCTCCCAATTAAGTCCCCCCCCTCAGCCCAAAAAGCAATCAGGGTTCCCTGTCCTGTGGGAAGTCCAAGGAACCCCCACCTCCATCCAGGTCTAGTAAGTTGAGCATCCAAACTGCCTAGGCTCCCACAAAGTCAGTGTGTGCAATAGGATCAGAAACCCATTGCCGTTGTTCTTGAGTTCTCAGTAGGAACTCAGGACCGTGAGGGGTGCACCCACACACTTAGACAATGGGGATGTTCTACTGGGAACTCACCAAGACCAGCTGGCCTGGGTCTGGAAAAGCCTGGGATAAAACTGGACTCTCTGAACATAGTGGACAATGAGGACTACTGGAACTAGCTCTTATAGACCAGGCTGGCCTCAGACTCACAGAGATCCGCCTGCCTCTGCCTTTCAAGGGCTGGGATTAAAGGCGTGCACCACCATCACCTGGCTATCAGAGTTATCTTAGATGGCTCAGTGGTTAAAAGCACACATACTGCTCTTGTGGAAGACCTGGGTTGGGTTCTTGGTACCCGTGTGTGAAGGAGTCGGTCATGATGCCTGTGACTCCTGAGCAACATCCAACACCTTCTTCTGCTCTCTTCTGGCCCCGTGCTCACATGTGCACACACACACACATATACACACACACAACCTTTTCTCTTCTGGCCCTGTGCTCACATGTGCATACAGAGAGAGAGAGAGAGAGAGAGAGAGAGAGAGAGAGAGAGAGATTACAATAATTAACTCTAAAAATATTAAAAATCTTTATTGCTATCAACAATTAAGAAAATTTCAATATATAGCCTGATAGAAATAATATAAATCATATATTTTATAAAGGGTTTATAGCTAAAATATATGAAGACCTATGACAATTCAATTTAAAAGATAAAAATAGTCTTTTTTTTTCTTGCTTTTTTTTTGTTTGTTTTTTTGTGACAGGGTTTCTCTGTAGCTTTGGGTCCTGTCCTGGAACTAGCTCTTGTAGACCAGGCTGGCCTCAAATTCACAGAGATCGGCCTGCCTTTACCTCCCAAGTGCTGGGATTAAAGGCATGCACCACCGCCACTCAGTTTAAGATAATCTAGTTTTAAAGGGATATATACATCTGTGGTAGTTTGAATAAGAATGGCCCTGACAGGTTCAAGTATTTGAAGTCCTAGTCCCCAGAGAGTGGCACTATTTGGGAAGGATCAGGAAGTATGGCTTGTTTGAGCAGGTATGACTTTGTTAAAAGTCTGTCCCTGGGGGTGGGCTTTGAGGTTTCAAAGGCCCATACCAGACCCAGTCTCTCTCCTCTCTGCCCCTGAAGTCCGTCTCTCTGCTTGAGGATCAGAATGTAGCGCTCAGCTGCTGTCCTACATCATGCTAGCCCCACCTTCCCTGTCAGAAGGACAGTGGACTGACCCTCTTAAACTTTAAGTGAACACTTAATTAAATGTTTTCTTTTAAAAGAGTTCTGTGCTCACCATGTCTCTTCAGAGCAACAGAACACTGATAAGACAATATCTAAATCACAATACTAGTGCACTTTTACTGGAACAGCGACCATCAAAACCACAGAAGGTGCAATGAGACTTAGAGAACAGAGAGGCTCGTGGATTGCTAGTAAGAACATAAAATAGCACAGGATCCTTGGAAAATAGTTTATTTCTTAAAAGTCATACTTAAACATATTATAACAACCTATCTTAGATCTCTACTCCAAGAAAAATGGAAATATAATAAAGTCACAGAACTTACGAAATGAATATGTGTGTGTGGACACACACACGCACACACACACACACACACACACACACACACACCCCACCATATACAATGGGATGCTGCTTAGAAATACAGGCATCAAACTGCCAATACATGCAAAACCAATCTAGAAGTAAAATGCTACAGGCACATTATTCCATAAGCTAGAAATGTGTGGAAAAGGCAACTCTAAACAGACCTGAAGCAGCCTGCAGGCTGTGTAGGACTGGAGGGGACAAGCTGAGGACAGTATAGGCAAGCTCAAGAGGGCTTTTTGGGTTTTATAGATTGTTGTCATAGTTGTACAACTCTACACATCCAGTAGAAATCAATACAGGTTGGACTTTAAGTGAGTGAATTCATAGGATGGAAATTATACTTCTATAAAACTATAAAAATTAAGATACAGAAGCAGGGACTCATCAGAACCGACTCACCAGAGTTAAAACAACTGTTCTCTTTTTGACCAGCCCTACCCCTTGCATGGTAGAACAGTGTGGAAATAAGAGCAGATTAAAGAGGTCACAGAGACCCTCAAAACAGCTCTTCTAAGTCACGTAGAGTACATCTGGTCCATGATGGCATCCTGTTTTATTTGGCAATGACATTACCTTACTCCACTCCCCCAAAAGCAACACATTGAGATCTTGCTATTATTTCAATTGGTTTTTTTTTTAAACCATGGATAACACCTTCCCTCTACAGAACTGCATGCTCTTCACATGATGTTCTAGGGAGTTACCTTTTCAGTATAAAATGTTTCATAAGATAAGCCATCTGCAGCCAAATGTAAAGTCGCAGATAACAGCATGAAAAATGTCTAAGTTAAATAACCATTGGAGAAGTTCTTCAGTTTTGGAAAGCCCAAAGAACCTCAGGGGTTAGATAAGGAAAAGGAGAGTTTTGAAACAAGCTAAGGGGAGTAAATATAATAGTAGCCTCATAGGACAGGTATAGGCCATTAAAATAATGTACATCACAAAGACCTGATAACACAATGCCACTAGAGACTGTCAAGGTTAAGTGTTAAGGGTGGCCACGGTGGTACGTAGCAGTAGTTTCACATCTGCTGCCAGCACGCACGTAATGATACACAAACTTATTAGTCATGAAAGCTCAGTCTATAGCTTAGGTTCGTGCCAAACTAGTTGTTAGAACTTAATCCATTTCTACTAATCTTCAAACTGCCACGTACTACCCAGCCTGCTTCTTCCATGTCTCCTGGCATCTCTTGCACACCTATATTCATCTTCGGAAGTCCCACGAATGCCTCCTGCCTAGCTATTGGCCATTCAGCTCTTTATTAAGTCAATCACAACAATGCATCTTCACAGTGTGCAAATAATCCCACAACAGTGGTGTACGGCCCTACAGGTAGGAGGAGCTCAAGTCTGAGGCCAGCCTGACCTGCAGTGATACCCTGCCTAGAAAGAAAGAAAGAGAGAGGGGATGGGACGGACAGGGAGAAGAAGAGCTGAGCACTATGACAGAGGCACGTGCTCCCCGAGTGGGAAGACTAAAGCAGGAGGACTATGAAATCAGGACAGCCTGGGCTACACGGCAAGGCCATGCCTCACAAAACAAAACACAAAAAGCAGCCACAAAAGCTCCACCATTGCATTCTTCAGACTGCTCCAATGCAGGGAAGAAAGCACATAGTCCTGTTAATCTATGCAAGTCAATGTTTATCATCCATCCGCAAACACACTAATTTCATGATAAACTCACATAATTTACACTGAAATCAAAAGCTAAAAATGGTGGAAATTGCTCAAACAGGTAATGCAGAGGAGGGCAGGGGTGGGGTAGGGATGGGGCAGGGATGCAGCAGGAATAGGAACAAGGATAGGGTCAGGAAAGTGGACCCTGCCAGCAGAGAAAGCCTCTGTGGCACTCGCTGTATTTATTTTACATCCTCATGTGATCTGATTCTTGAATCTCAC